CCATCCATCCATCCATCCATCCATCCATCCATCCATCCATCCATCCATCCATCCATCCATCCATCCATCCATCCATCCATCCATCCATCCATCCATCCATCCATCCATCCATCCATCGATCTATCTATTCACCCTTCCTTCATTCTTTCCTTCCATCCGTCTGTCTGTCTGTCTCTCTGTCTGTCTTGTATATATGTTATTTCTGGACCATTTAACAGTATGTAAAACCCTGTGTAACTGTCTTATTTTTAAAATACTTTTTTTTTAAGAGTTCTCCTTATATAAAACCTTTTGCGTGGTGCCACTATGGGGGTTTACTAACTTTAAAAAATCATTAAAAAACAACAAACGACAGCCTAATGTCAGCTGTGTTTGTGCATTGTGTGTGATGATTTTGTTTGCGTTAGTTTCGTGTCAATGAAATAATCTCTAACCAGTGTTCCTTATTTCACCTCCATTTCTATTCTAAATCTTGCTGCTTATTGTACATTAATAAAACTGAAATTTCGGTGACCCTAATAGCACGCCTCGATTTGGTTTTGAACAAATTAACTTCCGTCTCTTACAATAAAATAGAGTGCGTCCAGTTCTTTACATTGAGCTACATTGACTTTATTGTGATTTTCGAACAAAAATTAAATGTTTATACATTTTAAAAATTAAATTATCCGTTATTTCTTGTTTTGTACTGTCTGGTGAAGAAGGCAGAAACGTCCGTTTAAGTATTAAGTGTCCTGTCTTTTCTTTTCAAGCTAAACATGATCTTGTTCCACTGTATATCTAGGATTAGGGTGTGAGGCCCTCCATATGCAATGGTCAAGTCCTTGCAGGAACGCGTGTGGACGGAGTTCCCGCGCGTTCGTCTTTGTGATAAGTAATAACTACACATAATTGGGGGGGGGGGGGGGGTTCTGGGGTGGGTGCCCTTTTTTTTTTCCCCAGAATCCCCCCCCCCTTTTTTTTTTGTACATATGTGATGCATAAATGACTTTGAGCTACGTGATTGGTACATGACTTTGTTCTAAGGAAGTTGTAGATGACTTTGATTTGTAGTTGACTTTGTTTTAAATACGTATCATATGCAGAGTATCATCCTTTGTATTTTGGTATTGAGTTGGTAGAGAAATTCGGTTAAGTTTGGTTAGATTGTAATGAAAAAGAAGCGTTTCACCAGGTCGAACTATTTTGTTAATCCACCAGGAAGAACAGTTCTGTTAATCCACCAGGTGCATAAGTTCTGTTCATCCCCCAGGTGGATACGTTCTGCGAATCCACCTGGTGGATCAGTTATGTTCATCCGCCAGGTGGATATGTTCTGTTACTCCTCCCGGTGGATATTTTCCACTTCCTCCGGGTGGATAAGTTCCACCCCATGGGCGAATTCTGTAATCAACCAGGTGGTCCAGTTCTGTCCGTCCACCAGTACGATTGGTCAGTTCTGTCGCGTGACAAGGCTGTTAAGCCTTCAGTTCAGAGGTGTGCGAACTGTTCCCTCCGAGTTCAACTTAATCTATGACCTCTCTAAGGGGCAGTGAGGGACTAAATCTAAATTGAATTAATAATGAACTTCATTTTCAAACAGACACATTGAATAATGTGTGGCCCAAACCAACCCGTAATTCGTTTTAGGATAACTGCACTGCACACACATTAACTGACACATAGATCTGCACACAAACATTAACTAACACATAGATCTGCACACATTAACTGATACACAGATCTGCACGGTGCATGCTTGCACATCAAAGTAAAGATTAAGACAATCAGAGTGCATGACATGTGCTTCTTATTTTAATCAACGTGTGGTACTGCAATACAAAAGTGATATTGCAGCAAGAAATTGACATTTCAAACTAAGCAACGGTGGTCAATAGAAATAATTAAGTATAAAATACCATCTTAACAAACATAAACAATCTACAACTTAATGAGAAACTTCATAATATAGTTTTAATTCTATAAGTAGACACCTTTATTCTCGGTGGCCCAGTCACAACAACAGAAAACAAACTAACTGAATTTCAGAATGATTTTTGTTTAAAATAAGTAGAAGAAATGTCAAATATGTCAGTATTATAATTATAATACAATATTTAATCTATAATCGAGTAGAGATCCCATACAGAGGCTGGGGTATCCAGGGCTCGTCTGAATTGTATAAATTGGCGCCCTCCTTCAATACAAAGATACACATATTTGCTTAAATTCCTATTGAATCATGTAAGAGCGCCCCCCCCCCACCCCCACCTTTCCCTTGTTTTTTTTTCGGCGCGGGACTTCGCCTTTCGGTAGCCCCGCCCTCCCTAAGGTTGTACAAACTCTGGTCACTAGCCCCGCCCTCCCTAAGGTTGTACAAACTCTGGTCACTAGCCCCGCCCTCCCTAAGGTTGTACAAACTCTGGTCACTAGCCCCGCCCTCCCTAAGGTTGTACAAACTCTGGTCACTAGCCCCGCCCTCCCTAAGGTTGTACAAACTCTGGTCACTAGCCCCGCCCTCCCTA